TCAACTCATCCTTCCTGTCTGCAGGTGTCTATGTTCAGTCTTCAAGCACTTACGTTACCTTTTGTGCTGTCTTTGTCCTTCCCTCAGAAGCATCCCATCAAATTTCCCCCAAACTCCCTCTGGATGCTCTTTGAAATTCTTCCTTAACCTTTTCCTTTGCTGGGCTGTCTACAGACTCCTTGTCAATAGTAAAACATTTAGAGTGCTGAGACCACAATTTTCCTTGCAGACCGGTTTTGTCTGATTGCTTCTTTGTATTTCCTATCTATACTCAGTTGGTATTGCTTGTATTAGATTGCAAACTCCCGCAGTCGAGCCCTTCTTTGTATTCTGTGTTTGTCCAATTCCCAGCACAACAGGGCTGTTCCATAATCTGAGCAGCCAGGATCTGTAATGGTATAAGCAAAAAACATGTAATAAGAGTAGTAAGTAATAAGAAGTTACAACGTGGCATCGTGTGCAATATGAGCTCCTCTCCTCCCTTCCCCTCCTTCCTTCAGATTCACAATATTTCAATCGTTTTATACAACAGAAGACAGTATATGAAGAGGTTTCAGAATAAAGAATAGTAGCGGATGTTTCCTTTCAGCTGCTGAACTGTTTCCCTGTGATCCACTCAGTAATGATGGCATTTCCAGCAGTTTCAGCAGGGAAGCCTCTGTGGGCACCTCTGCACGTCCCACCAAGGTAAGACCAACATGTGGCAGCCAGGCGAAGCTGAAGGAAGGTCATGGCCAAGGTTGTGAACTCTTTCATTCAATAATAGAGGACTCCAGTCTCCCAGGCTTGCTGCCAGCATATCACCTTCTAGTTTTGCCGAAATGATCTTGAGAAAGGACCTAAAAAGGGCTGAAGGGGCAAAAGAAGAATGTTGAAATGACATAGTTTCGTCTTCATGCAGTTCAGTACTAATTTTATCCTTTGTCTTTAAGCTGCCTTTTAAGTGCTGTTTGTCTCTGTGGGAAGCAAGTGGGTCACGTTGTTCTACGTTTCTACTGTAATACACTGCCTGCTATTTTTCTCTTAGATTATTTGTGTAATCTTTTTTGTGCAATCTGTTTGTTCTTGAGTCTTGCAAGCTTTGCCTTTGCTACTTCTTTCCCAATAAGCCGTGCAACTTGTTCTGTATTCACTCGTGGGTATTCTGCACACGGCGGACTGGGTTATTTCAACCAGTGTGAAAATATTAAAATGGGGAACATGTGTGGGCACTTAATTGTGGTGAGTCCAACCACAAATACCTTCGCCGTTGGTAATTGGCACACAGGAAAAGCAGACCTTTGTTTTGTTTTTATCAGACATAATGATAGATACATTGTTTTTGGTGGGGTTTTTCTGGTTTTCTGAGGAAATGAGGCTTGTGCAATCGCACTGCCTGTGTGCATGTGCCTGTCTGTCTGTCAGTTCCTTCCTCACCAAGAACGCTCGAAACTCATAGCCATTTTCAACCAAATTTGAGTGAGGCACAAAAAGAGTGTGCGAGGGGGAAGAAGAGACCTGGTTTTACACAAGTCTTGTGAAATCCCAGATTTCCCCAGAGTCTGCAGAAGGTGCAGCCTCTAACAGCCGCACCACTGCAAGCCAGATCGGTCGTGTGTTTGCCTGCGTGCATTTACGTGGATCCGGCCACCTAACTGTGAGCTCCCAAATTTGAATATTTTGGCTTACTTGCTTTTACCCTTCGGGCAAGTGAGTCAGTTGGGGGCGGTGCTAGGCACAGAGCTGGTGTTTTGATTCTCACTGGAGTGGCCATGTCTCATGAAAAACATGGTTTGCTCCAGGCCACAGTGTTACAATTTGCATATAAACTTATGAAAAAGGAACCTTTCTTTAAGCTTTCCTGTGCAAGAGTTTACAGGAGCATTTCTGTCTGTGTACAGAATAGCAGAAGCTGGACTTCTCATAAATGTAGATAGTTAAGTCTGTCGCTGCCTGAATGGGAATCTTCTGTGGAAAAACCCAGAAAGAGGAAGGAAAGCCTAAGGAAATACCAACTTCAAGGGGAGAAGTTGGCCAAGACTTCTGTTGTGCTGCTCTTTGGTCTGTACCTGGCCACCAGCACTCTAGTTGGGGAATGCCTCAGAGCTGGGCAGGAATGTAGCCTCAGGGCACCTTTGAGAGGCAGAGAAGTTGTCTTTATGCCCTTTGCTCAAAGAGGAGATGGAGATACAAAGGCACCAAGTGATTTGCCAAATATTACGAGAGTGTATGTTTGAGTTAGGAAACAACCCCAGGTCGCCTGATACAAGAAGTAGAGCCAGAAGTACAGTCTACATATAGACAGCTTCTCCAGCAAATGGAGAGACGCCTTGGTCAAAGAGGAAGGTAACTGTTGAAGTATAGAAGAGCTGCTTAAATTATGAATGTGAGAAGAGGAGGAGGGGAAGAAAAGATTCCCACATGTTCTACTCAGATGTTAACAAAGAAAGCCAAGAAGTGTTTGCATAGACACTACATTATTCCGTGTCCAAATGCCTCGTAAAAATAATACCGGATGATCACAGAATGGCACACCAGGGAAAATAAATTCTTCAGCAGAATATTCCCTCTGGAAAAACACTGTGTAAAGTAATACACTAATGGCTTTCAATTTTGTGTTTTATATATAGAGATATTAACTGCTCCCCAGACGTCTCTTCATATTACAGCCCAGCTACACGAGCAGTGTGGAGAAGGCCCCGGAGCACGCTCGGTCTTGTCCGCACACAGGACCAAGCAGTGCTCTCCTGTTGTACATGCAGCTCCTGTGGTGCATACAGTAGGTTTCTTCTGCCTTCTTCCCAGAGCAGTACTGTTCCTGTGGTTCTCTCCAGTGAGATTTTTTTTTTCTTCTTCCTGGTCCTTATGGTTTTTTCCATTCTTCCCCCATGATCTGTAGCCTCACCACCATGCTGGGAACCCTGAATTCCTTCTCTGCTCGTAAAAAAGGAGTCCTCACAAGAAGCGTTACAGTGGAGTGATTAAAGCACAACACTGTCAATCAAAATGCTAATAAGAAATGCTAAAGAAAGTTAAGTATAAAAACAACATTATTAATTCCTTAGGGGGGGGAATTCCAGGCTTGTCTGGATTTATTTGGTGACTTCTCTCTCCACATTGCTCAGACTGGGAGCTGTTTGAGTCAGGAACTGTCTGTCCTGTATAGTGCCAACTACGGTTGTGCCGTTGTAGCAAATCAGAATGATCTGGGTTCTTTTCCAAGCTTTCCTAATATATCTCAAATGTGTATACATATATCATCCTGCCACTTCCTGAGGGATCCAAAAGTAGCTTACGTGCTTTGTTCCCTGGATGTAGCCTACTGGAGTCTTGGACAGGCAGGGAAGAAGTTGTGAGTGCGGGGACATCGATGTTGCACTGCGCAAGGACAGCAGCCCTGATGTTGGGATGATAAGGCACGTCCAAGCCTTCTTAGGAAGTCTTGCAGTGTTTTTTTGAAAAGGCCAATAAACATAGACTGTGGTATGAGAGAACATCATATCATTGGTGGATTATTTAATTATTATTATGGTCATATTATTTGTCTATGCATTTATAAGTAATGCTATTTTGGACTTGGTCTGCCTTCCTGCTCGCACGTCAGCTCTCGCTTCCCTTCCCCTCCTTCCCACCCTGAGCGACCACACCACTCCACCCACAGAGCCTGAAAGTTGAAGTGCAGGGTCCCAAGACTGGGGACACCACAATTATTCTCAAACTGCAGAATACTGTTTTGAGTGGGACAAAGCCCCAGACCATAGTTGCTCTGTTGCCTCTGGTGGGGTTCTCTGGTGTAGGGTGGGTGAGGTTGTCTTAAATACCTTCCATGACTCTGTGCATGAATTATTTTTGACACTGATTGCTGGGTAAGGACATCAGACCTGCATGGGCCATCTCTGTTTTCTAGAATTCAAATGAATGGCAGAGGAAAATTGCAAAGGTGCCTTCGACCCACCCTTTTCCATCATCTCTGCACCACAGTCTTCCCTAGG